TCTCTCTCTCTCTCTCTCTCTCTCTCTCTCTCTCTCTCTCTCTCTCTCTCTCTCTCTCTCTCCTCGTGGAAAATAACGTATTTCGTAACTTTTGTGTATTGCGTATGCCATGGTAAAATGCAATACAGCGCCCTATCGGGCTGTAATCCATTGACCGGAAAACGTATCCGAATACAAAACGGAGAATTATTTACTTAGCACTACAACTACCGAACGAGTTAAATGACTCTTCTTTCGCAATTATTGGGAAGATAAATCTTTGAGAAAGTATCGTAGGAATCGTAGTACGTGCAAAGTGAATTATGTCGTAGTAGATGTACTCTTAGAGCTATAGATTTAACACTAAACTACCAGATGGGTCGGAATGATTAAATTCTCCTTTTGCAATTATTGGAAAAAATAGATGCTTTAAGAAATTTTTAAAGTTGTGTTAGTTACATGCAAACTAAGTTTTGAGTGGTCGAAGACTCGATGGGTACCCTTGGGGTTTCTATAGAAAAATTTGGAAAAATCAACTCGATTGTTTGGTATTTGTGTTGAAAAAAGTCAACTTCGAATGGTAGCGTAGTGTTATGTTCCTCGTGATCCTTTGTACTCTTCGCGTACGTGTATCGTGCCGTCTGTGTGTACATTGCCGCGCAAAGATTTCAAACATCTGCGGAGAAGCGTGCGCCTTAAGGCACTGGTAGTCTAAGTACGTGCAAGACGGCGAGGGGGTATCGAGAATTAACGGGGACAGAGTGTCGAGTACGAGGAAGTCGAATTTTCGGCGTGTCCGGCGGAATAAGTCCAGTGACTTCGTGGAAACGTTCCCAAACGGCACTCGAGTGTCGAATGTCAACAGGTCAGGAACGACTCCACGGGATCCTTTTTGGGCGCTTTGGGTCCGGGTTCCTCGGGCTAATAAAGCGCCACGAATGCTTGAATGTTTGTTTAATCTGCTGGTCGGATGAGTTTTATGCTTTGAACACTTGTGTCACGGAGAAAGATAAGATGTTTCGGAACGGCATACATTGTAATACGATTGAGCGCGATTCAACCCTTTGCGCTCGAAAGTTTTTCGCTGGAAACATTTCACAGTTCTCGACGAGATAGACGACATTGGTTGAAACTAATTTAATTCAAAGTTGTTTTATTTAAATATTTCTTATAGTAATACAAAGTTTGATTTAAAATACTAAGTATTCAATTTCATAGCTTTGTATCAAACCAAGGGGTGACTTCACCCCTCGAGTGCAGAGAGTTAATTTCTGTTACCACGTGATTGGAAGGACTAGAATCAAGAATATTTTGGTGAATGGAGAAAACACGAAACAGTCGAGGAGTATAGAGGACAATAATAAATTTGTTAATAAAAATTGTTTCTCGGTATTTTTATTAATACGTGGTCACCGATGACGGAGCTTACAAATTACTTGAAAACTACAATAAGAAAATCGATGTTAGTAAAAATATTTAGTAATTATCATTAATTAGTTCTAATACCATTTGCCTTTGTTATAGAAGAATATTACCATACAAAATGCTCGAAATTATCATCAACGTAAGAGTACCGGGAATGAGGAAAGATTCAAGATATATTTTATTTGGTGAGAGGTATATTTGTTTACCATCCTGCGGAGTCACAGTTCCTTTTACATTTTCCTGTATTTGCATGAAAGGTGTAGGAACCGTGGGTGAGATTTAATCCGAAAAAGGGAACGTTCCCCGGCAGAAATGCAAATGGCTACCTGCCCGTGGATCCGATTCAACCGCGACACGTTGAAGATATGATATTATAATCGTCTGATTCTCGGCTCTCGGTGTCGCGCGTGTATCGTATCTGCTCGTTAATAAAACGAAACCACCTGCGGCTACCGTGATACAATACACGTTAATATCGATCGATGCCACTGCCGCGTCGAGTTCTCGGTTTTCTCCCCTTTCTTCCGTTCAATTCTCGAATTCCAGAAATAAAGGTTGGCTAAGTGGTTTCCTAGAAATTGTTTACAGCAGCAAAAATTGAGTTACTCTCTAAACGCGGATACCCTTATAAGCGTATTACAACATGTCGATTACAGCGCAATTGTGGGGTTACCTTCATTCGTTATTTCGCATGCATTTTACTTTTTCTCGTCATTGCCCTCGGCAGTTGTAAACAAATGAATAATGCAACGCCAGACCAGCAGATTTCAAATCCATTTGACTGTGATACACTGGAAGAATTACATTTTATATTGCGACTGTTCCGTCGTGATCAAAACAAAATGAAGTACCGTTGAATAATGTCACCCCTTTGCACTCGGCAGTTTTCCACTAGAAATATTTTAACGTTCGATGGTGAGACAAAGACGATGTGAAACTAACTTGAAGAGAAATCACACGTACATCAAGCAACAGAGTTGTTTTATTTCAATATTTCTCAAATTGATGCATTATACGTGGTACAATGTTAAATATCAAATTTTATAGTGACTGTATGAAATCAAACGAGTGAGAGTCGCCTCTCGAGTGCAAAGGTTAAGAAGAGGGGAAAGGATTAAGGCGCGCAGTTTGAAAAGTTTCGCATTGTCTCTTCGTGCATTGTTGACGGTGTTCACGGGTGAAGTATTGTAGTATGCAATTGTTTAGGATTTTTCGAACAACGCGAGGATAAAGACGGGGATCGTACGAAATCGAAATGTTCACGACACCAATATCAATCGAGTGACTTAAGAAAGTCCCACCGAGTAGGCAACGCGGTCTTATCACGCGTGGAACACGGTTTAAAGGTCAACCCGGTGGAGATATTGGTAACAGCCTGACGACTGAACGAGATATACGGATAATTACGCGCGTAACAAGTTCGTTCGATTCCTTGGTCATTCAGCTGCTCATCCTTGACGCGCATCTTGCCAGTTTTTTCTTATAATTCAATTGAAAAATTCCGTCTACAACACATACGTTCAGTATGATTATTTTTTTCTTTAGATAACACGTATGGTGATTTAATTAAATTAATAACGGATATTCCAACGGAAATAGTAGTTTAAAGAGTATACAAATTATAAGAAATTAACCATTTTCATTGAAATATCATTGTAAACCATATTATATTTTTACACATTTTGATTTTTAATCTCGTATTCGTATTTTTCCTTCGATTCGAACTAGTTCCTAAGTACCAAGCTTGTAGCCCGGGATTAAATGAACCGAACACAATTTTCGTTTCTTAGCCTGATCGATAACGGGCCTGATAATATTTGTACTCGTTCGATATCTTGATACAGTTCCCGGCTCTTATGTAAAAGGTGGTTATTATTAAAATCCCTGCACAGTGACGATTTCGTCACGTTATCGACGATCGATTCCGAAGACAAAATTTATCCTTGACCAGCTGCTCGATCAGATTTCGGTTTACCGTCGGACATCGAGAACGATTACCACGTGAAGGAGATACAGGATATGATCAGCGTGATGCAAAGAATGATCAAAGATGGTAGGTCGATCCGTCCGAGCGAAGCGTATTCACGATTTTCCGTCGTGGCCACGGCGCGCGATGGAAAAAAGAGGAAGGAAAGAAAAAAAAAAAGAAGAAATTTATATCTAATCTACTCTTGCCACCGATAGCGACAGTCTTTTGTAATTAAAAAAGTCTGGCGTACAAAAAGATGGTCCGCGTTTCGGAAAGATTAAGGTCCATTCTCGATAAACCAGCCGAGTTCCGTTCGAGCGTACACAACTTCGACTAACGAACGTAACCTTGCAGACCCGTTTCGATTATAACCTTTCGACTGCGTTATAATCAGCATTTTATTAAACGTAATTCGGACCCTAATCGTGTCCGTTTCGAGTTCCAATTACACAGTAACAGTGGAGTATACGCAGATACGGGCTCGGACGTTAATGCAATCCCGTCCCCAAGCTCCGTTTCGACCAGCACGTGGCCGGACTATGAATCTTTCCTTTTTTCAGCCATAATACGCAAGGTCACATGACTCTCAAGGCAACATTTTTCGTGGATGGTATAATTATTTTCGTCAGGCCATCCGAAAAATGAATAAGAGAACGGGAACTAATTGATAGACGCTCAACGATCGTCCTATCCGATCAACAGGTTGAAACGGAGCTTCACGTGTTTGGAAAATAAATATTCCCTGTTTAAACGATCATAAATTATGCACGATGCAAAAAAACAGATTTGTATATATATAAAACAGCGGCGCTAATTCCCTCGCTCGGGCGTTATTAATATTCCGTTTGGCAACCACTGCGGAACAGTGAAATATTGACAACCGTTACAACATATCTTCACCAGAACGCGAGATTCGAATGCGTTATGACACGTCCAAATGAGTAAGCGTAAAATCTGTTACGTGCTGCCACCATCTAAAACTGTACAACCATAAAAAGTGTATAATCGGCGGTTCGGTCGATGTTGGTTGGTTCTTGTGTGTCGATGGTATAGAGTTTTTTTTTCTTTTTTTATTATTTTTTCCATTCGAATCATTTTCGTTCGCCACGATACGAATCTCCGCAGCGCGTTGCACGCGAATAAAGAAAGGCAAGCTGCTCCGGCGAGGGAACAAAACGTCGGAATAAGGGAACGGAACGGAAAGGAAAAAGAGAGAACGCTGTATAAGCGTCTCAGGTTCGTGTACTAGTCCCTTCTGGGTGTTTATGGTTTATGAACTCGGGTCAAGCTGTGTAATGTTATGAGCAGTGACGGTCATAATACGCTCCTTATCACAGTGCTGCTCAACTTGTGACTAGTTTGTGTTCGAGTCACACGGTATAACACCGATTGCTTCGGTGGATTCGGTTTTTGTTTGGGACACGGTCAGATTTTGTTGCCCGTCGTGTTACATCGTAACCAGATTCTGCGTAGAAAGGAATGAAATCGAAATGAAAACAACTCGCGGAACGTGACGATTCCCCGGAGGGTGTAATGACACGTTGCACCGAGTTGGCAAATCAAATACATTTTGCTCGGCCGCGAGAAATCGGAAACCAGTGGTGTACGGTTACAGCGGAAACGCGTCAGTCCAGAGACACCGGAACTGCCGTTAAATTTTTCGCGGGAAAATCGACTCGTATACAAAAAAAAATATCACGAGAAACATGTGATAGTTTGGTTCAATTTTTTTGGGGGATTTTCATTACAGGTCACGTCTTCCAAACTCCCGAGGTAGTCAACATTGTTTTAGAACCTGGTATATGGTGAGTCATCATTATTTTTCAGTTCGGAGTGTGCATCGTGTTGTTGAAGTTTTGTTTCTGGTTTAACGTTCAATATTGTTGTTTTACAGCTCAAAAGATGAAGAAGTGGACAATGGCTGTGTAGTCAGAGCACGTGGTCTTCCGTGGCAATCATCAGATCAGGACATAGCAAAATTTTTTCGCGGCCTAAATGTTGCCAAGTAAGTTAATTGATACGTGCACGCATTAACCTGATAACGATATTAATTGTAATAAATGCATTTATGTACAAGCCACTGGGATCCGCGTAAAAAAGGTAAACATCTATATCTGACGTGTAAATAGGTTTACGTTGTTAACGTTATTGTTAAATTCCGGATAAATCTCAATTAAATGCCCTGTTTACCTTGGACAAGACAGTAAACAGCTTTTAAAAACATTCGCCTGTTTATGTCTTATGCAATGATAAGGATTATCTGGGGTCACGAATCTCGCCGTATAATTTAACCAATGATTCCTAAGATCGTTATAATTACAGCATAAATAACCCGCAATTTTTTTCGTTTATCCGATAATTGAAAACGTCCGGGAACGTACGACTCCACGATTCCACAGTTTCAGTTAAGAAATATTATTGTATTACAGGGGTGGTGTAGCTCTGTGTTTGAGTGCTATGGGAAGACGGAACGGGGAGGCATTGGTACGATTTATTAACAAAGAACACAGAGACATGGCGTTGAAAAGACATAAACATCACATGGGGGGACGGTACATCGAGGTGTACAAGGCTTCTGGCGAGGACTTCGTCGGTGTTGCCGGAGGTACAAGTGGAGAGGCACACGCATTCTTGTCTAGAGGAGCTCAAGTCATTGTCAGAATGCGGGGTTTGCCGTACGACTGCGTCGCTAAGCAAGTGGTGTGTACCAGAACGGAAAACTTGTTCCGCATTTTACAGGAGTTCGATGGTAATTTTAATCGTTACGATTCTTCTTGCAGCTCGACTTCTTTTTATCGGGGCAAAAGCCCTGCCACGTGTTGGACGGGGAGGACGGAGTTCTGTTCGTGAAGAAACCAGACGGCAGAGCGACCGGCGATGCGTTCGTTCTTTTTGCGAAAGAAGAAGACGCCGTGAAGGCTCTAAGCAAGCACAGAGATTGTATTGGTACACGGTACATCGAACTCTTTCGAAGTACAATCGCGGAGGTTCAACAGGTGCGTGTCGGATTAAATGATGCGGGTATAAACGAAACAAAGTAGGGCTCCGGTGAAAATAGTCACTCATTTGCATATCGATTCTGCGGCTTCTAGGTCTTAAACAGGGCGATCGACCTGAAACAGGTTGTACTTCCGACGCCACCCATTCCACAGCTTCCCCCGATACTTCCACAACATATTATCACATCCGGCACGCGCAAGGATTGCGTACGGTTACGTGGTCTTCCTTATGAAGCTCTCGTCGAGCATATTCTCGAGTTTATGGGCGAACATTCCAAGAATATCGTCTACCAAGGTGTTCACATGGTTTATAACGCTCAAGTAAGCATCGCGATACCTTCCAGTTTATCGAACACAAATTGCATACATTCTGCGTAAAGTAAAGTCTGAAAGTTTCATGCTAGAAATACTTCTAATCGTCTCTCTTCTTTTCCGTTCAGGGTCAACCGTCCGGCGAAGCGTTCATTCAGATGGACAGCGAGAGTTCCGCGTTCGCGTGCGCGTCGCAACGGCATCACCGATACATGATCTACGGGAAGAAGCAACGGTACATCGAAGTCTTCCAGTGCAGCGGGGACGACATGAATCTGGTATTGACAGGTGCGGTAACTCCGCCATCGACCAAGGCCCTGCTATCACCGGGTACGTTGACCACACAAACTCCCGCCACATTGACACATCCGCCTCCGCCGACGCCGGTACCGGTGCCGGTACCGACGGCGCAGCCTCCCCTATGGGACATTCACGCGTTAGTACAGGCTCAAGCGCAAGCACAGGCGCAAGCTCAAGCTCAGGCTCAAGCGCAGGCAATCCGAAATCAGGACTTTTGGCTGATGGCCTTGGCCTCGAATCCACCGCCCACCTCCACAACTCCCGCATCACCAACATCGTCAGTCGCGACAAAAACTCTAGCTCTTCCCGGACCTAATCCGCAACATCAGATCCCTGCCTACGCGATGGCTCCTCCAGCCGCGGCTGCTGCTGCTGCGGCCGCGGCCGCTCTTCACGCTCAACCGCCGGCCCACACGCCATTCCTGCTCTTCAATGTCCCTTCTCGAATCCCAATCTTAAGGGCTCCGACGCCTCACAGTCTCCTAACGCCCATCGTCCAGGCAGCACCGATCAATCACGCCGCCATCATGGGTCTGAAACGGACCTGGGAATCTGCCTTCCCTCCGGAAACACCAAGCACTGTCGCGAAACGCGCCACGTGGCACACACCGGCGACCGCGTTCGCCCAAACACCGGCTGCCGCGCCGGGCTTGCCTTATCCTGCTCAATTTTACCCGCAGCTTTGATCGATCCGTTGCCGTATACCGACTAGATTGACCATGAAGCTTCTTCTTTTTCTTCTTCTTCTTTTTCTTCTTCTTCTTCTTTAACGCGTGCTATGTATATGTTTTATATACAGATTTTTATACGGCGTGTCCGTCGGTTCTGTTCTTCCAACCGATCGGACCAGTTCTCTTTAGAAGTTTTTCTCTCAAGATACCCGGCGAACGTCTGTTCCACGTGTCCGGGTAATTAGACCTTTCCGGTTGCTTCGTCACCCGGCGAGAGATAGAGCGTTGTATTATTACAGCACACGATTCACCTTTCCACGAATGTGCGCGGTACATAATTCTATTCATAGTAGTTATCTGCAGACATTCCGCGTGATACTGTCATTTAGTGGTCTTTCGCCCTTGAACCTTCTCCTACTTTGACTAGAGAGCGTGCAGGTTTTCTCATTTAACTTTATCACCCGAAGCATCTCCGTCGTCCTCGGTGGTTCCATTGGCATTTTTTTTTTCTTTTCCACGGTGGTTCGCACATACGTTTGTTTGCGCGATGATAAATATGTTTATGCCTTTAAAGATTTCCGTATAAATCGCTGATGGAACGGGCGTTTCATTAAACTTTCTCACATAACGAATGTTAGCCGACCCGGATCGCCATAAACGTTCGCATGTCGGATCGCGAGTTATAAAACCGAGTGGTTTTTATTCCTTTTTTGTTTTTTGTCTTTTCGAAGCAGAAAAATGTTTTCGTTCTTGGATTGCTCTTAACGAGGCGATCAACCGTCAGGAAAATAGTTTTACCGATGCGT